CATTTTATGTCATTTTGTTGTTGTTCAGTTATTTTCAGATGTATCTGACTCTTCATGACGCCATCTGGAATTTTCTTGGCAAAGATACTGGAGTGGTTTGCTATTTCCTTCTCCAGATCATTTTTACAGATGAGGAAATTGAGGCAAACAGGGTTAAGTGACTTACCCAAGGTCACAGTGTCTGAGACTATGTTTGAACTATTTGAACTCAGATCTTCCTGAATCCAGGTCCAGTGATCTATCCACTGCACCATCTTAGCAGTAGATTTTATGTCATAGTCATAATCAATCAGTTCATTTCTCTCTCTTTTTTTAGTATATTGGGGCTGGGATTGTCTTTCTACTTTAGAATTGAGCCTCTCTACCTCCTCCCATGTGATTATATACACAAAAGACTAGATAGAAGTATTGACTCTTAAAAGTCTTATTTTGTCTAAGGGTCATTAAGGAAACAGAGAGAGACAAGATTTGGACTTGAGTATTTAAAAGGAAACACTCTGTAAGATGAGAGAAAGGGAAGATTTTTTTTTAATTTTTAAATTTAATTTTTAAAATTGGAAGAGTTAAAGGTAAAGATCATTTTTAAAAAGCAGATGGGGTAGGGAGGTGGGCAAATAAATGTAAAAAGATAGACTAGATAGATAGATAGATAGATAGATAGATAGATAGATAGATTATAATAGGATAAGTAGAATAAAGTAGGAAAGGGATTGGGAGGGAGAAGAAAAAGAGCATCTGAGTCAGGAGATAGATCTGGGGAAGAGATTACCAGAAGGGAGAGAAACTACAGCTGGAGGACTGATTTATTAAGGAAAAAAGGGGGCAGGGACAAGACCCAGAAAGAAGACTGAGACTGTATTGTTTCATGTGATACAAATTCCAGATAGCTACTGCTGACTTTTTAAAAATTTGTATTTTAAAAGAAATATCATAGCAGGATTTTATAGAAGTAAAAACAATAATCATAACCATGAAAATAAATAGAATGAACTCATCCATAAGTCAGCAGAGAGTGGCAGAACAAATTAGAAAGCAAAACCCAATCATTTTCTACATACAGTATATGAAATGCACTAAAAGATTCACATAGAATTAAAAGAGGGGTTGAAGTAGAGTTTATTGTGTGTCAACTGAACCAAAAAAGAAGAAAAGGCAATCACAATCTCTGATAAAATTACAGTAATCCAAGGGAATTCCAGAGTGAACGGAAAGTGAGTTACATCTGTAGGGTCTCTAGCTCCCTGAGGAAGTTATAGGTGTCAGTGAGAAAATGAACATCATCACACTGGTATGTCCAGATGTGGCAGATATTTCTGGAATGTTACCATTTTTTGAACCAGGTCCAGTCTGCAGTATTCTACCAGAACTAAAAGCAGTAAAATGGAGTTTTAGTGCCCAAACACCTTGCAATTGATGCCTCTCACACAGAAGCCCATAGAAGGAAGACAGGGGTTGGGGGCAATGAGGGCAAAGAGCATCAAAGAAACACTGAACTCTTTAACCGATCAAGTAAATCAAGAGAAGTTCAACTCTGGGCAGTCTAGTATCTGAAGAATAGAAGAATCATCTGAGTAGGAAAAGCAGGGCAAGGACCAGTGTGTTCCCACTATAAAAGTGGGATATGGGATATGTCCACAATTCACCTTGACAACTCCTAATCTTTTCAAAAGCAATCTTGGAAAATAATTCTCTTAGAGACAGAGATCATCAGTAATCAAATGGAGGAGCTGTTGGTTAATGATATCATCTGTGTGCCTTATCAATAGTGGTGGCAGGAAAGAAAATACAAAAAAAACAGGGCAAGATGTGGACTTTCAGATTTTGAATAAAAGAACTAGGATTCATCACTGTGCTTTGCCACAAGTTCAAGGATGTCGTGGACTGTCTACTGGGTAGTCAGTGGTTTTCTATGTGGGGCCTATGCATTGGGTAGTCCCAGGGGAGAGGGACATAAAGAAAAGATAACCTACATCTATCCTACCAATGAATCCGTTCCCCAAGGATTTCTAGGGCTGGAAATAGTGGTTGGTGAAACAAACTAACTACTTGGAGAGGAAATACGGTGGATGGCAACAAATGCTCAGAAGCTGCCATTTGATAAGTATCAAAGCTGCATTTCCTCTTCCAAATAAGTAGCCCACATTGTACCTCAGCAGGGATCATCAGTGTAAACAATGCAGAAGTGATTTTCATGTTTTGAAAATGGCTGGGGGAAAAATGTGAGGAAGTCTTTAAGGACATAGTTAGGTACTCCCCTCTCCCTGTCCCCCCTCTCTCTCCCCTTTCCCCCATCCCCCCCTTTCCTTTTTCCCTTTGCCCTGCCCCCCCCCACACACACAGTCATACGTAACTTTTGTTGGGCAAAGCATGTCTTTCACTTTACCCACCAACCAAAGATAAGAGCAGTGGTAATCAAAGTATGGTCCAGTAGTCCTCTATAGCCTTTCAGAGAGTCCACAAGGTCAAAACTATTCTCTTAATAACACTAAACAATACTAAAAATAAATAAATTAAATACTTGATAATAGTAAAACATTATTTGTCTGTTAAGATATTCCTCCTTTTTCTAGCTTCATATCCGTGTAAGGTCAAATTTTTTTCAATATACTTCAACCAAAACAACACATCACAATAGACTGAATGCTAGAGCAGGTAAGAGAATTTACCTATCTTTTATAAAGCCAGACACTAAAGCATTTCCTAAAAATATTTAAAATAGCCTTTCTTCTTGTTGAATTTCTTGTTTGGGAAAATACAATAATTTTGATAAGATGTATTATTTATATTAAAATGTAGCAGTTTTTATTGATATTTTAAATGAATAAATATTTTTTAATTATCCAATTAAATTAGTACAGAAAACATTGATAGATATAACTCTCACAAACAAAAGTTTCTAGGGATCCTCAATAGTTTTTAAGATTTAAAAGGGTCCTGAGACCAAAAATTTTGTTAACTGCTAGCCTGGAAGACTTTGGAACAGTCTTAAAGCAGGAGAGTGATGACCTCCAGAAGCTGTATTTGCCAGTGGAGGACTGACTGAGAGTGAGACTCATTATCTATCCACAAATTGGAGTTGTTGGCTTTTGAAAAGGCTTATGATCACCCAGGTGTATAGAGTAATTTGTGAATGGTTCTCTTAAACTATGTGATTCTGTGATGCCTGATTCACTATAAGCCAATAGTCACATTCCATTCCACTGGTAAAACTCTGTATGGTCCCAGTTAATCATCCCCAAACATTAGGGGTTGCTACAAGTTCCTGTAGTGGCACCAATGATAAAGTGGATTTTAATTCAGTCACAAAGGCAAAAAGATCAGTTAATGAATAAGCATTCATCACTGGCCTACTATGGGCTGGGTGTTTCTTAAGTGCTGGGAATCCAAAGAGAATCAAACAGTTCTTTCCCTCAAGGTACTTTCATTTTGTAGGGGTAATAAGCACATATAAATAGACATAACATATATACAACATAAAGATAAGATAATTTAGGAGAGAAAGGTAGAATCCCAGATATCATAAAGCAAACCCAATTGATAAATTAGAGACTGCTCTGAAATAGCCCCAGGAAAAGACTAGCACAAAAGCCCTTTCCTTTGTGGATTGGTCAAGGTGTGGGGAACCATCTTCAGGAGCAATCTACCAATCAAATGCCAACCTCCTCCCTCTGCCCTCATCATGGAATGCCCCAATAAAAATACAAATTCATGCCAATAATAGATCGGGATTATATATCTGGTCAAGGTAGATATGCAGATATAAGAACTCTCACATAAAACTAAGCAGCTCATTTACTGCTAGTTTTGAAGGTCCTTTTAAGTTATGGTAGAAGCAAATGACAACCCTTCTTCCCTTTAATAGATGGTTTTTCTTCATCAGTAGTTAGTGCTCTCTATTTCCTAAAATTTAAGGTGAGTCAGGAAGACCTGAATTCAAATCCTGCCAGAGACAACTACTAGTTGTATGACCCTGGACAAGGTATTTAACTTCTGTTTTCCCTAGTTTCCCCATCTTTAAAAATGGGGATAAAAGGTGTAGCTAGATGGTGCAGTGAATAGAGCACCAGCCCTGGAGTCAGGAGGACCTGAGTTCAAAACATTTACTAGCTATGTGATTCTGGGTGAGTCACTTAACCCTAATTGCCTCACAACAACAACAACAAAAAAATGGAGATGACAATAGAACTTCCTTCCCAGGGTTGTTGTGAAGATCAAATGAGATAATATTTGTAAAGTGTTTTGCAAACTTTAAGGCATTATGTAAATGTTGTTGTTATCTGTGTAGATCTTGTATTTGAATATTTAAATACAAGCTCATCCCCTCCCACCCCCCACCCCTAGTAGAATTCAAGTAGTCTCCTTGAGGACAGGAACTGGTTTGGGATTTTTGTTTTTGTTTTATGCTTGTATCTATGGAAATAGCAAAGTGCTTTGCATGGAGTAACCACTTAATAAAAGTTACTGTTGGGTCGAATTTATGAGTTTTTCTGCCTCCAAAACTC